GCTGATGGGTTTCTTGTGCTTTTCTCTGAAGCTGCTGGCATTGGCGTTGATGCTGTCAGTGACCGGATTTACTGCTGGTCTGACCCACCCTACGAGTTCCTGTGTGCATGTGTGGCTGCCTAGGGTCCAGCACAAGGAACTGGAGGGGACTGAACAGGCTGCTCTCCCAGTAAGCTGGTGCTCACAGGTGGGACTCGCTTCATCTTTCCAGAGATGAAGTGCAAGTGTAGACTGAGGTGCTCTGCTTTCTGCCGTGGCACTTAAATAAAGTTGCGTGAATGTGTGATGCCCACCAAAGATGATGGGATTTGCTTAGATGAAAATTGGTGTGGTTCTGTGGAAAATGTACACCTAGAATGCCGGGCTGGCACGTTGCGAGTTGCCTGTTTACTTCCGTTGTTCCTGAGAGTTAACTGAGTTTTAAGCTATCTATGTACAGCAATTCAGAAACCATACTAGCTAATTTCAGATAAACGTGTCTCAGGTGGGGATTAGCAGAGTTCTGGAGATGAAATCTGGCCAAAATATAATTCAAATCTCTTGGTTTAGCAGTGGGTTAAAAGAGAAGCAGAATGTTCTCAGCATGGCAGTGTTGTGTCATCTGGGCCAAGTCATGGCTCTGGCAAGCCTAAGAGATGCTTATGAGCATTCCGGTTTTACAGTTTAGATGAATAAATATAATACTTGTGTATGTAGTGATTTTTCACAAGGGCTATCTTCCCTGGGTGAACTTTTCTTTTAAACATGGCCCATTCTGTGCTTAGTTTTAAACCTGTTACTAGAAAGCTGCTGCTGAATTTCACTGGGTTTTGTATCAAGCCTTAATTTGACATTTAATACATGAGCCAGGCCTGACATCTAAGGAGAGATGGATGAGCAGTGGTCAAGGAGGAGGAGAGATTTTTTAGGGATGTAGGAAGCTTTCCCTTTTACACAGGATGTATTAGGGACAGTGCTTCACCTTTAACAGAAAGTGATTTTTTTTTTTTTAATTTTTTTTTTTTTAGACTAAACTGAGTCAATGGTTAAGATCCTCTTGAAACCCACGGCGATTCTTCCATTTGTTCCTTCTTTCTCTAAGTCTGTGTGTGTGTACACACACATGCATCTTTTGTGTGTACAGCTCCCTTCCCTCGTACCCTGTCCTAATTCCAGGCCCAGCAGGTTAGTGCCGGGTGTTTGTCCCTGCCGGTGTGCACAGTGGTGTCCGGGTGACTGTCAGTCCGAGCACTTTGGGGTGTAACGAGGTCGGTTGCTGCCCCGGGCAGACAGGCTGCCCGTCTGCTTG